CACACACACACATAAATAAAATAAAATTTAAATCAACTGGAAAAGCTAAGAAGCAATTCATCTTTTCCACTGAATCTCACCCCCAAAATGCCCAGGAATCTTATAGCACATACTACTGAAAATAGGGATAAAGAAGGAATGAAAAGCAAGATTGGGTGAAGATTTATTTATAAAACTTGGATTCCTCAAGTCTCTACATCTCTCCAAAACCTCCCCAACAGCAGATTTATGATGTATTTTCTGAAATGTGTAAACCAGTTGATGGCTACAGTCATACACTGAAAATTGAAGGAGTAAATAGAAGTGCTGAGTATATAGTAAGTGCTGAGGCCAACCCTCTCCTGAGTTTTTCTCTACTCAGATCCTACCCATTACAGGCCTACATTCCCCAAGCTGGAGAGTACTTCTCACAGCTATATCTGAGCAGCTCAAGAGGAAAGACCTAAATACTCTGCTATTAGAGATAATCCTAAAGAAACAAAATTTCCTGATGCAGTAGCTCCCTTTATCCCTAAGTGCTTTGCTCCAAGCCCCCCATTGAATCCCTCAGATCATGAATAGTTTATATTAACAAGGTGACTTGGAGTGGGCCCCGAGATATGTTGTGCTAATGAGATAACTGAGGATACAGGCTGGCTATCACACCCATGTGATTAAAAGGGTTGGGATGATTTTCAGCTGACCCCCAGGGAGAGACACATGACTGGAGACTGAGTTCACCTATGCAGCAATGATCTAATTGTGCCTTCATAATGAAACCCCTGCACACAATAAAAACTCTGCACAATGAAGTTTGAGTAAGCTTCTCCAATCACCATTGTCCACATATTATCACACACCAATGTCCCAGGAAGGTTATGTGTCCTCACTCTGTAAGGACATAACAATAGAAACTGCATTTGGAATCTTCCCAGACCTTGCCCTACATGTGTCTTCCTTTGGCTGGTTCTGATTTGACTCCTGTGTTATAATAACACTGTAAGTGTACAGTATTAAGTACAGAACTTTCAATGAATTCCATAAGTTCTAGAAAATTATCAAACGTAAGGGAAAGGAGACTCCTGAATTTGTAGCCAGCTGGTCAGCAGTAAGGGTAACTTGGGGTGGTCCAACCTAGGAGCTGGTATCTAAAGAGAGAGCAGTCAGGTGCAAGACTGTGTCCTTGAGCTATGAAGTCTGTCATAACTCCAGGCAGATATTAGTTATTTTAAAGCATATCTTTCTTTTTTTTTAATTAATTAATTAATTTATGTGTATGTGTGTGTGTGTGTGTGTGTGTGTGTGTGGCCAGCTCAGCCCACCAGGGGGCGGGGCTGGCTGGCATGTGGTGCTGAGGGATTGAACTGCGGTCCCTGTGCTCTGCTAAGCTTGTTCTCAGTAGGTGCTTTAGACCACTGAGCCATCTCACCAGCCCAAGCATATTTTTCTTAAGCATGTAAGAATAACTTACACCCAAACTGAGTGGTCTAGAATACTTTCCTGAGCAGTTTGTCTCCTCAGCTGCTGTCCATAAGAGTCTAAGAAGTTGCAGGAATATGTAGGTGCAGAATCAAGAACCAGCTTTTCTCTAATGTTGTAAAGAGACTGAGCATTATGAGACAGAGCTCCATACTGCCCTATGCCACTGGTCAGAGCCCTTTTTAATATGAAGGATCAAGTTCGATCACCCTATAGTGGATATCGCATGCCAACTCAGCACTTCCCATCAACCTTTTATAGTGTCCCACTCTTTAAATATGAGCAAAAGGCTAAGGATCGCCACACGTTTGGAAAAAACAAAAACACCCCACATACATTAACAATAAAAGTGCAAATATACAAAAGAGACAGAGACACAGAAAAGACAGATTGAAGGAACTCTTTTTTTTTTTTTAATGTGTGTGTGTGTGTGGCCAGCTCAGCCCACCAGGGGGCGGGGCTGGCTGGTATGTGGTGCTGGGGGATTGAACCGTGGTCCCTATGCTTTGCTAAGCTTGTTCTAAGTAGGTGCTTTAGATCACTGAGCCATCTCACCAGCCCCTGAAGGAACTCTTAAAAGACTCTACAAAGAGACGAAAAATAAATCTAAGTAAATCTCTCAAAAAATAAAGTAAAATGATAGAGATGGAAAATAATAAAAGGGAAAATTACAGGACAAACTCAGGAAGCCCAAATACCAGTAACAGCATTCCAGAAAAAGAAAATAAAATTAAATAAGTCAAATTTTTTTTTCTTTTTTTTTTCTTTTTTTTTTTTCAGTACTGGGGATTGAACTCAGGACCCTGCACTTGCCAGGCAGGCACTTATCCTACTGAGCTATCTCCCTAGCCCAATACATAATTTTAGAAAACATCTCAGATTTAACCAAGCATTGTGGCACACACCTGTAATGCCATCATTCTGGAGATGAAGGCAAGTTTCAACTCAATCTGAGCAACATAGTGAGATCATGTTTCAATGCTAAAAATGTAAATTTTAGGGCTAAGACTATGGCTTAGTATAAAGACCCTGGGTTCAGTCCATAGTAACAAAAAACTTTTTTGAATCTCAAAATTAAATGACATAACTTTCAGGATTTTAAAGTACTAACTGAGGTGCCAGCATATATATCAAAATGACCCAGACCCAGCTACATCACTGAGAAGTTTCAGAACAGTTTCACAAAAAGATTTTTATAAGCTTCCAAAAAAACAGGATAAAGAACCAGAATATGATTATAGTCTAAAAAATAAAAGCTAAAGGGGGAAAAAACAAAACAGAATAAAGCCTTTAAAATCTCAAAGAATATTATTTCTAACCTAGGGTTTTATACCAGCATAACTTTCAAGTAAGCATGAGGGACACAAAGAAAAAGACCTCTTCAGATATGCAAGAAATTCAATACTACCTCTGGGAAATTAGAGATCTGCTCCCCTAGAACCAGGGGATAGACAATAAAGAAGCAGTCAGAAAATTCTAGGAAATCTGAGATCCAACAAAAAAAGGACTAAGGGAGACAGGAACAATAAGCGGCACATGCCTGTTATCCCAGAATCTGGGAGGCTGAGGCAGTATATCCTCACAAGTTCAAGGCTAACCTGGCCTACATAATAAATACAAGGACAGCTGGGCTACATAGTGAGACTCCGTCTCAAAAAAAAAAAAAAAAAAAAACCAACTAGGAAAAATGAGAAAGAGGAGAAAGGGGTAAGGGAATCCCCAAGATAATGAAGATTGAGATCCTCAAATAATTCACTGCTGCAAGCTTCAATAGCAAAGGGTTTAGGCCAGAGCCTATCAGAAAGCTCCAAAAGAATTCTACAAAATAAAGTAAGTAACAAAACACCTCATGTTTCTAAATATATGAGGAGGCTATTTAAGTAACTAAAGGGAGATGGAGTAGAAAACTATGTGAAGAAGAAAACACGTACCTATTAATTCTAGGGGGAAATACTGAGTTGCACAGGGAAGGAAACATCTACGACAATGTACTAAATGTCTCAGTAATGAATACCACTTACTAGCAATACTATTAATAGAAAATACTGATTACTATTCTATGTTATTCATAGAATATTATTCTGTAAAGGCAACCTTGCAGGGCTAGAAAGCATTTCTGGATGAAAAAGGAAGTTAAACCCTCATTCTGAATAGTAGGAAGTTATGAGAAAAGAATTTTAAACAAGTACCTCTGAAGAGTAGGAAATCTAAAGCCTGTTAGAAGTGAGAAGAGCTATTCTTTTCATTACAAGAAGCAACACATTTTAACTCTTTAAATGCACAGGAGTACAACTTGTAACAGACTAGAGAAAATGTCCACACGGTCAGGTACAGACATAGTGTTCTACAGAACCACCCCATTGGTTCCCTCTGTACCCTCATCCCAAATCTTAAATGGAGAAGAGAACATAGCATATAGCAGAGGACCTAGGATAAGACAGGAAGAATGGCAATAAACAAGGCTGGAAATTCAGACAACTCTTGCGTCTTGGGAATAAAAGAAGCTGTACAACTCATAAGTTTATATTGGGGCAGTCAGGAAAATTTAACTATAAACTACATATAAAAATAGCATCCTGAGCCAGGTGTAGGGGTACATGCACACCTATCATTCCAGTACTTGAGAGGCTGAAGCAGGAGGATCACTATGAATTTAGGCCAGCCCTGCTTACATGGTGAGTTTAAGGCCAGCCTGAACTACATGGCAAGACCCTGTCTCAAAAATTAAAAAAAAAAAAAAAGCATTACGTTACATAGAAAAAGAGCATTTAAATATATATATATAGTATTTTTTAAGATACATAAACCCAATAGTGAAATGTCACAATTTCTATAATGTACTTTATTCTTCAACAATTTAGATAAAACAAATATTGCAGAATGTTAATAATTATTAAATCTGGGTGATGAATAGAAGAGTATCATATTTCTATTTTTTAATAAAATTTAAAGCATCTATAATAAAAAGAAAAATTTCTTTGTAAAGATCCATACATGAAGTAGAGTTCAATCTCTATAACTATTTTTAAATGAAGATAAGCTAAAGAGACAGACTAGAAATATTTTAGGATTATCTTACCATATCCTGCCATAGAAGCACCATTCTCCACATCCACTGTGTTCTTATTTTCCTCTGCAAGAGCTTTAACATATCTTTTGCTTAAATCTAGTATTTGTTCACGTAACTTCACACTGCTTTGATGTCTTGGCTGCTGAAAAGTATAGTGCAGTAACATGACTCCCCAAATGAGTCCAAATACAAGCAACAATAAACTCAATTTCTGGGACATATTTTTTCTTGAGATTGTAAAAAACATTTCTGATGAAGTAAACAGACTTGATTATCACACAGTAACTGCAGATAAGCCCCCAAACAAAACTTTTGAAGGAAAAAAGAAAAAACTTCTCTAACATATATTCTTCATCTTCGGCAAGGTTGTTCCACTCTTGTATTAAATCTGTAAAATTAAGAAGGAAAAAAGTATTTAGTTCTAACCTGCACTGGTAATAGAACAATGATTTTTTTTAAAAAATTCTATGGTTTTCATTTGGAACTATGTTACCATCACTGACAACTTTCTCCACTGCTAATAGAGATTTTTTTCTTTCATCAGTTGCGTTTGTGTAACTTTTCAAAATTTTAACTATAGAAATGTCAATTTATTGAAAATATCTGAAAACAATGAATGTCACCACGGTGCTTTCTTCTCATTTTAACTAAAAATCGCAGACATATAATGGATTTAAACAGGAAATCTCAATCAGTGTTCAAATGTCACTAACCAAAACACCTAAAAACTATTCCTGTAAAACAAAAAGTGAAAGCCAAAATAAAATACATGTGAAATGAATGTCACTAGAAGACATTACTAACATGAGGTAACCCTAGAAAAACATCCAACCTCTGATGAAAAATAAGTTACTGTTTTTATTTTTTATTTACTTTTTTCTGTATTTAGGACAGGGTCTACAGGGTCCATAGGGTCTCACTATGTAGATCGGACTCGCAGTGATTCTCCTGGTTTCAGCCTCCCAAGTGCCAGGATTACAGGCACACACCACCATGCCCAGTCTCAATTGCAGTCTCAGCATGCCCCATGGATGGGGCGGCATAGCATGCCGGAGATCGAACCCCAGCCGCTGTGCTTTGCCTAAGCAGGTGCTTTAATCTGCTGAGCTATCAGGCCAGCCCTTAAGTGACTGTTTTTAAGTTAGTATCTTATATAGTGATTATTTAATAGCAAGTCTTAAAACGGGTTAAGATATTTTTTTCTGTATTTCTAAATTTACAACTCCACATTTTAAGTGGAAAAAGTATGCATTTCGGGTAATGTAAGGAAAAGATTTAAAGATTATACTTCAATAATGTGTGTCCACATGTGTGTATGTGTATGTACAGTGTGAGGCATTAAAACCAGGACCCCTGAATGCTTGGCAAGCTATCACTGAGCTATATGCCTACCCCTTGAAAGAAATGTTAAATTTTATACAAAATATCAAAATACAAAAATTCTCTATTAGATGTGTGAATTAAAGCATATGGAAGAAAGGAAATTTTCACTCCTGCCAATTCACCTGTCTTGCTCAGAAAACTCTCGGTCTGCCACCTGGTCACTCATAGTCCTCCTCTAATTCTGGAGTGCCAAGGTTTGAACATCAATCTATTCTGGGTGAGGTATACTATCTTGCCAAATCTCACCACAAGCATGACTACACCACTAATGAGTATATTAGTGTCATAAACAATAAGTGTATTAAAAATTAGAAATTAACTCCTTTTCAAATTTTCTCCCTGGGGCCTGCTGTGCTGGCCCCGCCCCCAGGGCGCGCTGAGATCACAATGGAGACTGGGCAGGGCCCATGCCTGTAATCCCAGCTCTTGCAAGGCTGTAAAGATCACTACAAGTCCAATCTAGTAGTGAGACCCTGAACACCCTGTAGATCCTTCCCTAAAAATACAAAAAAATAATTTTTCTTTTACTTATTTCTTAACATTCACAAAACAAGTCCTTTCAGATCTTACTTTAAAATACCATAAGTATCCATAGTGAATTATTAAACTTCACTTTATTATTTGTTTGGACTGTGTTGTTTATTTTGTTGTGTTTGAGGCTGGGTCTCCCTGTGTAGTTCAGGCTGGCCTCAAACTCACTTTGTAGTCCAGGCTGTCCTGGAACTCATGATGATCCTCTGCTTCTGTCTCCGGAGTGCTAGGATTATAGGCATGCACCATTACACTCAGCAAACTTTGATTCAGTAGTAAAATGAGGTAATACCTTTTCTATAGAGATTTTACATTTGAGTTCAGAAAGCAGAGATTATAGATATA